GGACCCGAAACGTTAACTCTGTTTTCTCCTCCACAGATGCTGCCAGACCTGCTGAGCTTTTCCAGCAACTTTGTTTTTGTTCCTGATTTACAGCGTCTGCAGTTCTTTTGGTTTTTATAAAGTTCTATAAAGCTGCAGTACAACTTGTTTATCCTTCTACTCAGTGACCCTTCCAATGAGGGTAAGCATGCCACAGGCCTTTTTTACTACCTTATCTACCTGCGCTGCCACCTTCAGTGATCTGTGGACCAGCACACCCAGATCCCTCTGCAGATCAATACTCCTAAGTGTTCGGTCATTCACTGTATAATTTCCACAGGTACTTGACCTTCCAAAATGCATCAACTCTCATTGGTCCGGATTAAATTCCATCTGCCATTTTTCTGCTCATGCCTCCAACTAATCTGTATCATGCTGTTTCCTCTGACAATCCTCCTCACTATCCACAATCCCACTAATATTTGTATCATCTGTAAACTTACTAATTAGACCAGCTACATTTTCCTTCAAGTCGTTTATGTGGGTTATGAACAGCAGAGATCCCAGCACTGATCCCTGTGAAACACCACTGGTCACAGCCCTCCATTCTGAAAGGCATCCTTTCACTGCTACCCTCTGTCTCCTATGACTAAGCTAGTTCTGTATTCATCTTGCCAGCTCACCCCTGATACCATGTGACTTCACCTTTTGTACCAGTCTGCCACGAGCAACCCTGTCAAAGACTTTATTAAAGTTCATGTAGACAACATCAACCGTTCTTCCCTCATCAATCATCTTCATCACCTCCTCAAAAAACTCGATCAAGTTAGTGAGGCACGACCTCCCCCATGCAAAACCATGCTGTTTATTGCTGATCAGTCCATTTGCTTCGAAATGCTTATAGATCTTGTCTTTGAGAATCTTTTCCAATAATTTCCCTACCACTGACGTGGGGCCACAGGCCTGTAATTTCCCGGATTATCCCTGTTACCCTTTATAAACAATGGGACAACATTAGTTGTTCTCCAGTCCTCTGGGACCTCACCTGTGGCCAAAGAGAATACAAAGATGTCTGTCAATGCTTCAGCAATTTGTTCTCTTGCTGTTTTAGTGATGTTTTATGTTAACTAGGATAAATGGAATTCTCTAACTTTTTCAAGGCATGCCAAGGGATCTCTTGTCTATAAGTGAAAAGGTGAATTGGGTTTGCTTCATTATCCCTTTTGAAAGATAGCAATGAATTTTCAACCTAGATTATTTGAGTCTCTGCAATGAAGTTTAAATCTACAAGCTTTTGGTTCAGCTGACGCAGAGGTTTGGAGAATTCTATTTGAGCCCTGTTTTGTTACTATCTCCCCTTCTGCCGAAGCCACTTCAAAGCCTGTATCTGTATATTCTTCCTTTTGTACTATCGCTGTTCTTGCAATTCCATATCTTTATCCTTGATATGCTTTAATTATTTTTAACTTTATATTAAAAGTGGTATATAAATACACATATAAATTATTATTGAATAATGCTGTCATTAGTTGTTTCTATGAAAATCAAATGTGAGGGAACTTGGGAAACTTTTACACAAAGTAAACGTCAAAATTTTCACTTCAGATTCTGAGCTATTATTAAGTGTTGCTAATGGAGGTTTACATGTATTTAGCAAGTTTGAGCTCATATTAAATACGAGAAGATTTGTTTCTACTTCGTCATCATCTTTTATGATTTCATTCTTTTTTTTCTATGTTTTAGTGTCGTAAGATGGGATCAGCTTTGTATAAGCATTATAAAGTATACAAGCGTTCCTCATGTGGACAGTGCAATGGTAAAATCACTATCTGCCGTCTTGGGGAGAACAAACGAATGACATATTTCTGCTCGTGCTGTCAGAAGGAAGATCCCTGCCAGATTAACATTAGGTATTTAATATGTACAAAATATTTTATTTTGTGATATATCTGGAAAATGAAGCAAAGATGAGACTACATGAATTTGTCCAGCATTTTAAAGTTGTAATTTAGATCAGTTTGGGACCTAGACTACACAATACTTTGCGAGCTTGGATGACTTGAATTTTATTACAAACTCATTTTCACTTTTGAGAGCATTCATTCAATTTATAGTATCTTCCCAGCTCTTTTAACTTTCTTATTTTTGCACCAGTTTCCAAATCTTGTAATCTCCATCCATATTTCTTGCACCCCACCACATTGTCACTTTGACTATTTTTGTCCTCTGTTTATTTCTGATCACTCCCAGTCATTCTGTCTATTGTGTACTCTACTGCTTCTAGTCAGCGGTTGCCTCCCTCAACCCAGTATCTCATCACCTATTTATTCAACATTGACCTTGCCTTTTTATATTTTGTGGTTTGTTTAAATATTGCAAATCTCAAATGAGGAGCTAGTATCTTTGAACCCTGACTAGGCCAGCTACCCTTGGTCTTTACTGATTTCTTTCCTTTCCATTTACCCTTCTCTCTTAACGACCAGAGTGAATGAATTACACTGGTGTCTGTTGAAATTTTTTTCATTCTTAGTGTGCTGTCACTGGCAATTACTGTCCATCTTTGGTTGCAGTTGAGAATGTAGCGCTGAGTCCTCTGAATTGCTGCAACATGAATCTTCAAATGAATTTGGCCAAAATGTTATAAAGGTCAATTGAAGTTTTTGTGTCATTGAATTGTGTGACATGTAATAAGATGGCAGTAATTGTATTGTAATGCCAGACAGAGATTTGCAAGATTTTAATCCACAACAATAACAGCATGCTGGTAGAAATCCAACTCCCGGATTGTGTACGGTTTAAAGGAGAACTTGCAGATCATTCTGTCCTAGCTACCTGTTACCCACACTTATATTCTTATGGATGGTGCAGGCTGTGTATTTAGAAGTTGCTTGGCAAGTTGCATCCTTACATCCTCCAGATAGCACACTCCATATTACGATGTGGCTGTTGTAGAGAGAATGAATGTTTTGATGAGTGGATTATTGCCAGTCAAGTTGATAGCTTCAAATTTCTTTAATGTTGTGACACCTGCATCCATTTATGCAAGTGAAGATTTGTACCTTTTGGCTATGCAGTGGGTTTGAGGTGGTCAGTAGGTTAGCCAATTGCCATAAATACTCAGACTTTGACTTGCTGTAGTTACCATGATGTTTGTACCTGATGCATGCTTCTGTTTAAATACCGGCAGTGAGATGCAAGGTTACCTCACAACATAAATAGATAAGAAGTTTCCATTTTCTTATTCTGATTCATCCATCCAGAAGAAAAAAAGTCAGCTCTTTATCTTCCATTGCAACATCTGTTATATTCAAATAATTTGAATGTTGTTTTCCCATCTTCACCTGAAAGAGTATTCAATAGATTGGTCATTCTTAGTGGTGAAGAGAATCTTCTTGAAATCTGTGCTACATTAAAAGGTTGTCACTTATTCTGTTTTGAAAAGTGTATGTATAGATATTCTGTTTAGAAATGATATTGCTAGTGTGTACCAAAATTCACATAAATTGTCTTTCCAAGTGGTATTTTTAAACACTCCCCTAAATGTAAGCAAAACATGCACTTAGGACATGGCAATTTTCGAGAATCTTATTGCCAACAATTTCCAACATTTTAAATGGAACTTTTCATTTTTACTATGTAAATATATACTTTAATCGCAGCAAAACTACCTTTCCCATGCTTTCAAATGTATTTTTTTAACAGTAATTTGCCTAAACGGAATAGCCTGATGGGATGGGCACATGCCTTTGGAGAACATTCTATTGACACCGTTGCCAAAAAAGAGGAGGAAGAATGGACCTGTTCACTTTGTACATTAATAAATGCACCATCAGCTAAATCATGTAATGCCTGCTTGACGCCAAGGCCTATGAGTAAGTACGGTTTTCAGCAAGTGGACTAAAACAGTTATTGTCATTATCAGGTTAATTTAACTTTGGTATGTTTGTGGTTTAATGTCTCCAATTTCTGAACTCCCTGTAGGATAGTAAGTATCTTTTAAAAGAGATGTATTACTTTTGGAGATAGTAGGAACTGCAGATGCTGGAGAATCTGAGATAACAAGGTGTAGAGCCGGATGAACACAGTAGGCCAAGCAGCATCAGAGGAGCAGGAAGGCTGACGTTTCAGGCCTAGACCCTTCTTCATTTTCTGAAAAGGGTCAATTGAAGTGTTCAAATTGTTGAATTTTATTTACACCATGAACGAGCTACCAATGACTTTGTTTACATATGAATGAGAATTTCCTTCACCTCTCGGATGTAGGTTCACTGCTCCCCTCACTGTTCTATTGTAGATACCATAGCCGTTTTAATAGCATTATGGTGCAAATGTGAATGAAAATTGCAGCTAAGTCTTTTTCTTGAATTTTGTTGAGTTGAGTATAATGAACATTTTCTTCACAACTAAATTAATCTATACAGTCTCCTTTGCCACCTCATATGAAAGTATAGTATTTAATTTGCAACAGGAAACTTTAAAAATAAATTCTATCAATGGTATTCAAGATTTATCATATTTATCAATGTTAACAGTGTATTCTTACTGTAAGGTTAACTGTGCCTTCTGCATCTTTTAAAGATGAACCTTCGTTTCCGATGTCTGACTTCAACAATGATCTCATAAAATACCCATGCAATAGTTTTGAGAAGCCAAAGATTGAGTGGAAACTAAATCGAAAGGCAGTGTTTGGTACAACAACATTAGTTCTCACATCACTAAGGAGCCCTGGAGAAAGCCCCGGATCCACTGCCTCAGTTGGTGATGAAATGAAAAGGAAGACACCGTTATCACATGGAAACACTTCACGCCAAGCTTTTCCTTTGATTAAGAGTAGTTCTGCAAATACGATGGGCTCAAATCTGAAAATGAATGGCTATGCAAACCAAATGGCCAACGATTCAATAGCTTCTAGTTGTACGAACCAAAGTTTCTTTCATCAACCTCCCAAAAGAATTAAAACAGACCATAGTTTATCTTTTGAATCCCAGAGAAGTGATAAAATTTCTGTTTTCAGGTACGACCGTAGACTTACCTATTTAAACAAAATGTCAATGCAGAAAGTTGTCGTGAAACGTCAACACTAAAGTAAGCTAGCTGCATGATAGAACTGTTGAATGCTTTCCACATCTTGGGACATTTATGTTTGATCAAATGTTATGATGGATACATTGTATGCAGTTGAAAGATATTGGTGCAGTGTTAAGCAAGTACTCACACCTGTCTTCATTTTGAAGGAGGATTTTGGTACAGAATTCAGGAAGAGAGTCTGTGAGGTTTTTGAGCAATTTGACGTAGGGAGTGAGGAGGGGTTGGAGGTTTAGGCAGGCTTAAAAGTGGAGAATCCCCTGGTTTGGATGAATTGTATTCCAGACTGTTGTGAAGGGAGAGAGGAAATTACAGGGACTCTGACCCAAATTTTTAATTTCTCACTGACCATGGGAAAGCTTCCAGAAAACTGGAAGATGGCCAATGTGGTTCTACTTTTCAAGAATGGTGATAGAAAGAAAGCAGGGAGTTACAGACCAGTGAGTCTTACATCAGTGGTAGGAAAATCATTGGAGAAAACTCTGAAGAAGAGAATTAATCTCCATTTGGAGAGGCAAGATTTGATCAGGGATGGCTTTATCAGAGGGAAGTCATGCCTAATAAGTTTTATTAAATATTTTGAGCAGGCGACCAGTTGTGTAGGTAATGGTAATGCAGTTGATGCAGCTTATGTAGATTTCAGAAAAGCCTTTGACAAGGTCCCGCAAGGAAGACTGATAAACAAGGTGAAAGCACAGAAAATCCAGGATAACTTGGCAAGTTGGATCCAAAACTAGCTTTGTGGCAGGAGACAGAGGGTGATGGTAGATGGCTGTGTGACTGGATGCTTGTGTCCAATGATGTACCACAGGAATCAGTGCTGGATTGTTTATTGGTCATGATATAGAAGAAAATGTTGGGGAAATGACAAGTAAGTTTGCAGATGACATGAAGATTGGCCGGATGGTTGACAGTATGGAATGAGGTCTTGGGTTACAGGAAGATATAGGTGGATGGTCATATGGGTCGATCAGTGTTAGATGGAATTTAATCCTGAAAAGTGTGAAGTAACGCATTTGGAGGAAGTAATGAGACAGGGGAGTATTCGATGAATGACAGGTCATTAAGAAGCTCCGAGGAACATAGGGATCTTGGGGTACTTGTCCACAGATCCCTGAAGGTGGCAGGACAGGTGAATAGGGTGGTTAAGAAGGCAGAGAGGACACATGCCTTTGTCAGTTGTGATGTATAATATAAGAGCAGGAAGGTTATGTTGGAGTTGTACAGGACTTTGGTTGGGCCACAGCTAGAATACTGTGTGCAAAATGGTGACTGCACTATGGGAAGGATATGATTGCACTGGAAGTGGTGCAAATCAGATACACAGTGATGTTGCATGGTTGGTGCAGTTTAGCTATGAGGAAAGGCTGGATAAGCTTGGGTTCTTTTCATTGGTCTAGAGATGGCTGAAAGGGTATAGACAGGTGGATAAAAAGCAACTCACAACCTTTTAGAAATACTGGGATGAGCACTTGAAATGTCATAACATCCAAGGCTATGCAGCAAATGCTGGCAGGTGCCACCAGTTTAGATTTAGATTAGTTTTTTGTTGGTGCAGGCTGGATGGGCCGAAGGTCCTCTCCTATACTTTATGATTCTATGATTACTCCATCTACCCTTTGCAACATAATTTTCTGCAAAATGAATGAAGATAATGTCCTCAATTTGTGAACTGCTTAGTTCATATCCAAGCAGCTTCTAATAATCTTAATGGCACTGGATCTGATATGCAGACTGGATTATTTCTCCACATGTGTAACGTGCACATCAGATTTTAAAACGCTGTTGTGTTTTTATGAGTAGAAATTTTTAATTGTTGATTTCTTTTTTTCTTTCATATGTTTGCACCTGGGTTGGATACTCTGTCAATGGTGTATTACTCATTTTAAAATGCAGAAATGGTATAAAAATTAAAACATGACAGATGTGTGCTTCAAACAAACTTAAGAGCAAATTAATAGCTATTTCAATTATGCAGTGAGCATGGCAGAAAAGCTAATTTCATTTTCAAAATGGATGTCTGTAGATGCTATTAAGAAGGTTGGTGATGAGCAGCCTTTTTAAACCGCTGCAGTCCATTTGCTGTAGGTAGATCCATAATGCCATTAGGGAGAGAGTTCCAGGATTTGGAACCAGCAGTGCTGAAGGAACAGCAATATATTTCCAAATCAGGATGATGAGTGGCTTGGGAGAGGAACTTGCATGTGGTAGTGATCTTATGTAGCTGCTGCCCTGACTTATAGATGATATTATTCCTGAGTTTACAATGTTCTGTCCAAGGGGTTTTAAAGAATTTTGGCAGAGCATTTTGTGGATAGTGCACACTGCTGCTACTGAGCATCAGAGGTGGAGGGATTAAATGTTTGTAGATGTGGTGCAATTAAAGCAGACTGCTTTGTCCTGGATGGTGTTAAGCTTCTTGAGTGTTGTCGGAGCTGCTTTCATCCCTTGCAGATGTTGGACAGGCTTTGAGGAGTCAGGGGATAAGTTACATATGCAAGATTTGTGGTTTTTGACTTGATCTTGTAGCCACAGCACTTCTATGACAGGTCCAATTCAGTTTTTGATCAGTGCTAAACCCCAGAATGTTGATAGTTGGGGATCCAGTGATTGTATTGCCCTGAGAAGTCCTGCAGAGATGACTTGGAGCTGAGGTGACTGGCCTCCAGTAACTGTAACCATCTTCCTTTGTGCCAAGTTTGACTCAAACCAGAGGAGGATTTTCCCCCGATTCCTATTGATTCTAGTTTTGCTGGGGCTTCTTGATGCTACAGTTGGTCAAATGTGGTCCTGATGTCAAGGACAACCATTCTCACCTACCTCTAGAAATCAGCTCCTTTGTCCATGTTTGGACCAGGGCTGTAATGAGGTCAGGAGTGGAGTGGCCTTGCCAGATCCCAAACTGCATGTCTGAGTAGGTGTGGGATCACAGTTCAATAACGATTGAGATCTGTGAGTGGCAAAAGTAGCCTCAGTAGCACAGTTCGAGGCAGCGATGGAATCCGAAGTACAGTTTTACTGGAGCCTCATACAGACATTAAACTTTTAGTTTGTGTGATATCTGTCCTGGGGAAGCAGGACACAGTTTAAGCACTTGCTAAATGCTGGTTGTTACTCCTAATGGGATTAGAATGCCTGTCCAGTTTGAGCTTGTATAATTAAGAGGTGTTAGTCCTTTTGTCTTTAAAGTTAGTAATGTTAGTAAAAATATTAGACCTATATGATCTAAATAAGTTATAAATTATACGTGTACTAAATAAAAGTATAGAGGATATTAAACTGATCTCCTGCAGCTGGGTTGTGAGATTTCATTTACTATTGCCGGTTTTGACAGTTCTTACACATTCACTCATGCAGTTTCACGGAAGCGCTGTTTTGATAGTAAGTTTCTTAAAGGGAATAGCAGCCCTATTTAATATGTATCTAAAAAGTACATACTAGAGGAGGAAACTATTTGATGTCTGCAAACTATTCAGATCCCGAGAGACGGTTGCTAAGAGCTAATTAATATTATAATCTTTCCATAGTTTTAAATGGGTTATGGAGACATGATAGCAAGGATGGCATTGTTCTGAGTAGGCTACGGTATTAACATTTATTCTGGGGTAGCCTTCGATGCCGAAACTGGTCTAAACACTGCTTGCAGCATGTTCTTAAAAGAATTGGAAGGTGTAAAGAGACAGTAATAGGCTAGAAGGGATGTTTAATTTAGTTTATAAATTGTACTACAAAAGCGCAGTTTTATGAATGAGTGAATGCAAATGCTGGGGGTCTGGCAGATTGCGTGCCTTCATCTGACCAAGTCTGAACGTGTTCCGACATTGGGAAGTGACTTTTTCCGTGAAGGGAGTGAATCCGATAAGTCATGCTGTCTGGGGGGGCACTCCAGGCTGGGTGAGGAGCCCGGATTTGGTCGGGGCCGACTAAAAACTTTGCCTGGGGTTCGGTCTGTGCCGTGGGGTCTGGCAGACTGCGTGCCTTGATCTGACTGAGTCTGAACACGTTCCAACATTGGGAAGTGACATATTCTGGTGAGGGAGTGAATCCGAGAAGTTATGCTGCCTGGGAGGCACTCTCGGCCGGGTGAGGTGCCCAGATTCGGTCAGGGCCGACTAAAATATCCAGTGCTTGTGAGTGAGTTGGTAAAGAGAATCATAATACAATATGTCACATAGGTTACTGCAAAATGCTGCTCAGCTGAAATAGATTACATGTCGAAAGAGATTGAAATTATATCACAGCCTTAGGTTTCCAAAATTTTGTGGGTAAAGGTGTGAACTGCCTTTTTTTTTGGTGTGCAATGAGGTAATGTGGGCCAGGAAATGAGGAGAATTCCTGTTTTCGGAATGTGATGAGAAGCGACTACCTATGGCCATCTGAACAATCACAGCTAACTGACAGAGCCTCTGTTAGCACCTCATCTGAAATGCAGCACTTTGCTAATATCCTGGAACACCATGGTGTCGAGTAACTTTAACTCAAATTGAACAGAACAGTGACTGTTACTCACTGATGCAGACTAGGTTGGGGCTTGGTCAGTAACTGATTTTAGATGAGCATCAGTTGAAGAACTATTGTTTTTCTTACTGTCCCTTGGTTAGAAGTAGGAGGGATCAATACAAAAGAGTTTCTTGACCTAAACTGAGACATTTGTCATTGTTTTAGCATTCGGGTGTCATGCTCAAAAGATTTATTGAGTCACTTTGAGGAGTTAACAGATCTAGTTGGTATTGATGGAAGAGGCGGTGGATATTATCCATCTGGATTTCAGGGAAACACTCATCCAATAGGCGATTATGAGTTTCAAGATCATGGAATAGACATGAATGTATTCATTTAGATTGGTAAATGATTATTAACCAGCATCGTTGTCTACATGCATAGGTAATTAGAAATGCACTAGTGGAATCCTCTGGATAGTTGGACTTGATGGGTTAAAGGCCGCCTTCTGCCTGAAATTGTTGCTATGCAAAGGTCTGAATGAATTCCAGGTTCTTACTGCTACCTCTTAAGTATATGTCGACATCATTTGACGACTGATCAAACTTCAATGTCACTTGGCTCTTGTATATTGAAGGCTCTGCAATTTTGTGTTACAAGTGAATTATACATTTTCCTTCAATCTATAAGCAATATGGTTTCAGTGGCAGACATTTAGATAAATCTTACCAAAATGTCGGATGTTTACCTCCAGTTAAAATTGTATTACTTTAATGGACAGGAGAAAATGACTGTCATAAGGTAGTTTTAATGTCAGGGTTTGAAAAACAACATGCATTTGTTTTCTTTACCATCATCTGTTAGTGAATCTGAATGACAAGCTAACGTCCTACAATAAATAACTCTAAAACAATGTATCATTTATAATTATTTTAAAGGTCAGTAATTTCTTACTGCAAAATGATGATATTTATCAAGCTTCAGCCTGCAGTCTGGTTGTCAAACAAGCACTGATGCCTGAAATTGCACAAAAGGCAGCTTTATTGCATGATTTTGATAAAAGAATGCTGTTAAATCAATAAAAGAAAATCATGTGTTCACAGGAATGCTGTTAGTATGAATGATGATACTGCTGCTGTAAATCCTGAAACCCCATGTTGCAAAAAGCATAGTCGTCCCTGCACATTAAGACTGGTCAAGAAAGAAGGAGACAACGAAGGGAGGCAGTTCTACGTGTGCTCCCTTCCTCAAGAATCCCAGTGTGACTACTTCCAAGTGAGTATGTTGCTATACATTAGTTGAGTCTGTCTGAAATCCTTAAAGTGACATTCTTCCAGGATGATTGAAGCCCCCAAATATACTTCTCACAGCTGCTATAACTATTAAATGTCCTATTATCCAATTTTTTAGCTCCTCCTAGCTTCTTCTATCAATTGCCTCAGAATCCCCCAATCTATCTGATTGTGATTACTGAACCTACTATTGATCAAAAGATGATGCCAAAATGCTCCCCACAGGCACAGCCCCTCTACTTTAGAGCTGGTGCCGCATTCAATATACACTCTGTTTAGCAGGACAGGCCTCATTTAAACAAGTGCTACAGATTTTCACATCAACAGCTTCGCTAAGGTCAGCACTGCAGAGGTTGTTGAGATGATTATCGCAGGTGAATATATACCAGCTTTAGCACTCTCGCTTGTCGCTACTGCTCTGCTGGTTGGCGTTCGCAGACCATTCTAAAGCTGAAGTTCTCAGTTCTATATTGGACTTGACAGCTGGAATTGCGGGCAAGTGCTTGGGGAACTTTGGTGAGAAGAAGAGAGATTTTTAAAGAAGTACTGCTGGTCTTGAATCTTACAGACCATCAATTCTTAGATAATCAAGAATACTGGACCATGAGGTTACACTATATGACATTATCAATTTAGGAAAAATTCTGTTGTAATTAAAAGGCAACAATCATTCGAACATTAGCAGTTTTTAAAAATTATTTCAGCTAAGTATAGAAGAAGATTCTATTAACCTGACATCAGTTATTAAGATGTCCTGCAGTGATTAACAGCAGATTTCATCAAAAAAGTCCAACACTGCAATGTCACAAATTAAATTTAGTGTAACCTCAATTTAATTCACTTTGATACTTTTAATGATTGTGTACCATTATGCTAAATAGCCTCTAGAGGGCACTTCAACACCATCCAAAAACCTGAAGTTGAATAATTGCAGTATTCAGGACTTAGTATGACTTATATTCCACATCAGATGAATTAATACAAAATTTGCTTTAAACCTCAGTGGCACTGCGGCTGGACTGTTGATTGAACTATTCAAAATTACTTTGAAATTGCAGTAATTGCTATCTACTAGGTAATGGATATGGTTGGGTAATAGGTTACATTACATTGTGTAGAACAGTGTTTCTTCAATTTATAATTTAATTACATTTGTTCAGCTCAGTTACACATCATTTGTATAATAGGTTTGCAAATCAAAAGGATTTTGCTAATTAAGTGAAGATTATAATTTTAATTATGTAGATCTGACTTTATACATCTCGAATACTGCTGTAAAAATAGAATTGTTTGCATCATCCACATTAAACAGAAAATGATCAGTTAAAATAATTATCTGCAAAACAAAGTAATGAAGATGCTAGAAATTGCTAAAAGGAGATGAGAAGGCTTTTGTCTTGCATTCAACAAGATTGGGATGCAAGAGTTAGATTTTAAAACGGGTACACCAATGTAGACAGCATGAGGGTCACAATTGGCATGGAGATGTAGCAAGAACTGTTATCTGTCAATCTGCAGAAGGGGTAATCACAAAGAACTGCAGGTGTTGGGAATCTGAAACAAAAAACAGTGTGCTAGAGCAACACAGCAGCTCTGACAAGTGTTTTGACGAAGGATCACTGGACTCAAAATGTTAACTGTGTTTTCTCTCCACAAATGTATCACACTGCAAACCCGATTTGATGATCTTAAATTTGTTTCCAATGTAACTCTCAGAGCAGTCTGTACTATGCTACTTATGCTACTTCTTCGCAGTAAACTCAAGAGATATTTGTCCATTGACCGGATGCTACATTCAGGACAAAATGACATTTTGCCTACCACAAAAAATGAGTAATGTGATATGATTTTCAGGGCCATGTGATGCCAGGTATGCAGGCTGTATGTTCTGATTGGCAAACCATGCCAAACAGCAGGTCCCATTGACTAACCGCAGTAGGCAATATATAGCTTATGATCAACCAGCCTATGCTTGCAAACATCTGATTATAGCCATACCTTTAAGGTGATTCTGCTATTGGAAATCATTTATTAAATAATCTGGACTGTGTTGAGAGTTACACTGGAAACCAACTTAAGATCAACTGTTAGGCTGACGGTGTGATTCATTCGTGTATGCAAGAAAACATATATTAATACACAGGGCCCTGTTTTATGTAGGCAAAAGAAAATAACAACCAACACTTGGTTTTGTCAATCTCTGCCGCACTCCCTTGATAACACCTCAACCTGTCAGAGTCTGCCTCCCCGATCTGAAAGCAAAGATCGCTGGCTAACTGGTCTAGCTGCACCTCCAAGCCAGCGATGGTCCGACCAATCAGCACCTTGTTATTGTGCTCTATAAACTGGTGTCCCTTTTTCATGTCTGTTTCATGCATCATAAACCCTAAGAGGAAGAGATGAAGAGCTTCAACTTCTTGTCTCTCTTTAACAATATTTAAGTTCTGTACTACCAAGCAATTATTAATATGTAGAGATCAAATTACATCGGGATAACAAATTCAAAACTTTCCTGCGGGTGAGTTCTGAAAGTATTCACTATCTCCTTTGTAAATATCACTATATCAGCAACTTGCAGTTACATAGCACCTTTTAACATAGTCAACCATCCAAGGTGCTTCACAGAAATATAATAAAGTAAAATCTTACATTAAGCCTCAAAAAAACAGATATTAAGACAGTTGACTTCGTTAATGTGGTAGATTTTCAGAAACATCCTAAGGAGGAGATGGAGGTAGAGAGGTTTGAGCAGAAAATCCCAGAGCTTAATACCTTGATAGTTGAAGGAATGACTACCAGTGCTGGAACACTGGACATGAATGATGTGCAAGAGGCCAGAATTGGAGTAGCATGGATCATGTGGAAGTTTGGAGAGTTTAAAGAAGTTAATGAGAATAGGGAATGGTGCAAGACGAACTAAAGAATTTTCAGGTTATCCCCTATTCGTAATAAAGGATGAGTTTAAAAATCAGCACCTACAGACTAGTCAGTTTAACTCTGTTGTAGGAAATCTTTAGGAACGATAATCCAGGACTGAATTGGTCCTGGTCAGTCGTGCATTTAATGAAGAAACCAGTATGTACGTATTACAGTCATACAGAATTTTGATGTAACAGGGAGGATTGATTTGAAAATTAATCTTACATAAATATTTTTTACTGCCACCACAGGTCTCAAAGCACGTTACAGTAATGATGTGTTATTAATGTGTAGTCACTAAAGTAGAAAACGTGGCAGCCAAATGGCATACCACATTTCCACAAACAGCAATGTGATAATTACCAGATTTTATTTCGTGATTCTGACTGAAAAATAAATACTGGCCAGGATATTGGGGATAACTCCTTGAAATACAGAAACACCTCCACAGGAGAGGCACACTGTCCTCCATAAGATTAATTGGAAATCCCCTCCCCTTCCCACCACCTTTCCTACCATGAGGGAACCATGATGCAGTGGCTGGGTTTTGGCCTGATGCGCAAAGCCTGTATGCTAACTGGAAATTTCAGTGGGTGCAGCATATGGCCCCATTGCCCTCAACTGGCTACCTGCCACTTGCAACTGGTTGGCTGTTTTGATCCCAAAAAGGACTCTGAAATTAGCTCAGGGTCAGGATGTATTACTAAAGTCACACTATGGCCAGCTATGCAAAATGTTGGACCTGTCCACTTCCAATCCCAACCCAGAAAGGTTCATCATTTTTGCTGAAAATTGCAAACATCACAAATATTCACTTCTGTCATGCAGTTATGTTCATTTTCTGTATAGCAGTGTGGAAAGACATACAGTAAGCACCTGAAGTATTTCAAACTGATTTTGTTTATTTCATGTTTACAATCATGTTCAAATTCTTGAGAATTAACCCTGCTTTTTATTTCATAGTGGGCTGACTTACATTTTCCATTATGCAATCATGGAAAGCGATGTATCATGAGAAGAGTGCTGAAACTTGGCCCCAATAACGGACGTAATTTTTATGTGTGCTCACAAGGAATAGGAAAGCAGTGTAATTTCTTTCAATGGGCAGAGAATGGATCAAGCATCAAGATTATTCCAGGCAGCTGAAACTCCACCAGTACCACCGAGGCAAGCATGTATGGAATAGCTTTACTGATCCAAGCACAAGAAAATGAAGAAATCTTTGACTTACAATTTAAAGTGTTATAAAAATGTATAACTGTTTCTGATATCTTTATTTTGAATCAAGATTATGTTTATTCCTCCCACCATTCCTAACTTTCCGTCAGCCCTGAGCACGTCAAGTGAATTTCTCGAAATTAGTATTTTTTTAAGTAATGTCTTTTTATCTTTATTTTATTTCTGTATCATTCTGTAATATGTTTCAATAGATGAGATCCTCTTTGTCACCTGGCTTGTTCTGCATATCTTTGTAATAAGGATTAATAAATTGAAGAATCTGTTTTAAACACACTGATTTTATAGGTTGTTAAAAGTGTAATGAGCAACAGAATGAGAATTTTTTTCACTCCTATGCCTGAAATTTCAGATTCTGACCTGATCCAAGAATTATGTACCTCTGTAAGGTCTGTAGATTTCATCTTGCCCCTTCTGTATGATCACCCTGAGTTTTCATTCAGAAGGGTCTGATGAGGCCTTTCTAACATGCTTTGAGCATATGGATTCCAGTCCAACTTAGATGAAAATCCTATTTTCATTTCCGCACCCAAAATTATTTAATATTAGAGTATAGAGTAAGTTAGGTGCTGGAAGACTGGAAGTTGGCTAACGTGGTGCCATTATTTAAGAAAGCTGTAAAGAAAAGCCAAGGAATTATAGACCAGTAAGCATGACATCAGTGGTGGGTAAGTTGCTGGAGGAGTTTCTGAGGGACAGGATTTACATGCATTTAGATAGGCAACATGGTTTTGTGCGTGGGAAATCATGTCTCACTAACTTGATTGAGATTGAGGGCTAAAACTTTTGTGTTTGAACACTCAGACTCCCATCACCAGCTAATGATTCCATTCCTGTACCAAGCCATTTTCTCATATTGATTAACAGTATCCTGTTTGATCCTGAGCAGCGTTTCCAATGCTGCGTCCTCTCCATCACGAAAGAAAATCAACCTTCATTCCTGTTACGTCAACTACCTCTTCCCTGTCTCAACAATTTTTCATCTATTTATTTCCCTCCAGACATAACTATTCTAATGTTGGCTGGCCTCCCATCATCCATCTTCTACAAACTTAAAAGCCCTACTGTCTGCATCAAAACCAAATCCTGTTCATCCACTGCAACCATGTCTACTGATGCATATTGGCTCCTGATCCACCAACACCTTTTTTTTCATATAAGACAAAACTGTGGAGCTGGAAATCTGAAACAAAACAGAAATTGCTGAAGAAACTCAACAGCTCTTGCAGCATCTTTGGGGAGAAAGCAAAGTTAAGGTTTAGAGTCTAGTTCTGAAGTAGGGTTACTGGACTTGAAACATTAACTTTGCTTTATCTCCATGAATGTTGCCAGACCCGCTGGGTTTCTCCAGCAATTTCTGTGTTCAGTTTTAGAATTCTGATCTTTGTGTTCCATATACCCAAGACCTTTCCTTTTCACCTCAACCTTTTCTGTTTGGTCTCCAACTTGCAACCCCCAATGAATTTCCTCCAACTTTGTCCTTCATTGGGAGCTATCTCCTCTGAAAGCTTTGGAACCATGTTCCCAAACCCCTATTTCTCAAGCTTTAAGATGCTCCTTAAAATCTACCCCTTGAAAATGTTTCGATATGCATGCTTGTATCTCCTGCATTGAGACAATATTTGTCTCATTAGTTATGCCTTTGGGTTTTTACGTGTTACTGTTTCTATTTAGATTTCCATTTAAATAGCAACATAACCATGGCTGCAACATAAGGTCAATACTATTTCTTTGCAGCTTAGTTTCCAAAGAACCATGAGAAGAGGAGAACCTCGTGTATTGGATATGGACTAATGTGAAAATGGTCACTCTCAAATTAGTTGGAAAGGAAGGTATGCAACATCAGTTACTTTTTGCACCCAACTCCTGATCAGGAATATTTATTTTGGCACCTTGAAATTTAAAGCCAAGCTGGTCTCGAGTAACAGTAAGTAATGATAAGTTGTCAACATTACTTCAGTATGATAACTAATTGCTTGTGAACAAAAGTTTATTTGGCCCCTCTTGTACAATAAATGAAGTAGGGAAACTAAGCTCATTTCCAAAATGAAGATGTTGGCAAATAATGTGTATTTTTTCTGTCTTTTTTCCCTTGTGCCCCTGACCCATGTATGGAACCTTCCATCACATGTGACATGAGGACTGAATTTCAAAGAATAAGTGTGACTGCAATTAAGATGAGTAGTCACGGGAGAGCACAATGAGGTTATACATCAGTGCAAAAGCATAGAAACTGTAAGTGATGAAAATCTTAAATAAAAATAGGAAAAATACCAGTCAATGGGAAATATGATCTCTTAAAGGCAGGATTTACCCCTCACTAAAAAGGGGCAGGAAGGGCAGATAATGGGGTGGGTTGTCCCCTGGGGGAAGTTCAGGCATACAGATGTGCAGGGGAGTGACTATGGAAGCCTTAGCCCCTTCCCCATCCACACTCCCCAAAACAAAGCTTAGCCAGCTTTGTGAAGGGTATCTTCATGACTATGGTGCCAAGGCTTCCAAAGGCACTCTATAGCCTCTGATCAGCCAGCAATTTCAAGCAGGCAGGGTGGGCAGGAATTCTCTGGTGTGAGACCTGATAATGCAAGAAGCCTGCCATTCAGCAGTTAAATGCCTGACTGGCACTCAATTCAGCAATACTTTCTTGCTGATGGGAGCAGAGAAATCCCCTTTAAAGATATCCGTCCCCACACTTTGTGCAGAAGCCATTAAATCCTTGTCTCAATTTCTCTTCGTCCTGATGCTGCTTGACTTGTTTCCAGCATTTCCTGTTTTTACTTTGTATTATTTTAATATTTTCCCATACAATAAATTTAAAAAACTGATTTTAAAATTCTTTATTCCATCTCATTGATTTCGATCATTTTTCAATAGTAAGACCTGAGATTACACTGTAGGGAAAAAGTAACAGGTTTTCTTAAAAGAATCAACCCGCTGTATTAGGACACAGCACTGGAACAGGTGGGATTTGAACACATGCCTCTTTACCCAGACGTAGGGACTCTGCCAGAAGAGTCCTGAAGTAACCATTCATTTGTGAGAAATGAAGAACAATTTAAATATAGCGTACTAATGGAAAACAGATGATAGGCCATGAGTAAAATGGAAAATTAGCATAGTACCAATTCTGAACATGTTACAGCTGCAACACAACTGTGTTTAAATGTTACAACTTCTATCAACTCAATGTTCACTTCTGCAGCATCTCTGCACAGTCATCCAGTGCTGGCTTTTGAAATAAAGCTGCTTAATACAATGATATCCTTGGGGGCTCTTGTGTGCAGTGATGGTGTCCTTACCTTTGAGCTTTGTAGAGGCTGCTGTTAAACTGTAATTAAATCATTTCAGGCACCTAACATCCTCTGTGCAAGAAAACCTGCCTCTCACATCTCATTCAAACTTTTCCCATCTCACCTTAAACCTATGGCCTCTAGTATTTGGCATTTCCACCCTGGGATAAGATCACTTCACATTCATCTAAACCAATCTCGCATTCATAGAATCATAGAGCACCGAAACAGATGGTTTGGTCCAACCAGTCCATGCCAAACAAACTCAAACTAGACTAGTCCCACCTGCCTGCTCCTGGCCCATATCCCTCCAAACCTTTCCTACGCATGGCTGGTCTAGTTCAGTTTCTGATCAATGGTAATCCCCAGGATTCCATGACCACAATGCCAAGGAGACCATCAAGGAGAGATGGTTAGATTCTTTCTTGTTGGAGACAGCCATTGTGTGGCATGAATGTAACCCACTATCTTTGTAACATTTGAAATACGATTGGTATAAATTTAATTTCCATTATCAACACCATTCTGTACAATTTCAGAATGTATTATCAACACTATTCTGTACTAACTTTATCTGTAGTTGAACGTGATTCACAATCAAGAGTAAACAGCCTTAAAGGCTCTGAAAATGTTGCATCACAATAGCTTTAAATACAGTCCACTATTTCTTCAGAAGCCTTCAATGGATTGTAGACCATGAAGTGAAACTGGTTAAGTTTTGGAGTTTTACTGCATGCAACGCCTATAAAAGAAAAAAAAACCCAGTTATGGTTCATGTAATTCATCAGAAATAGACTTGTTATCTTAACACTACATATTAGCAATATTTAAGTACCACAAATTTCATGTGCCAAATAATAAAAAGGAATTTGTCTAAGCGTGTGCCTTTTCAATTAAACAAATGCTCCTGGGCCACTGTCCCATGTCACATCTTGGCCAGAGTCAATCTGCCTTTTAAAATGAAACCAAAGTCTTGGGGTAATTGTTCCCGGGTGGAATGGCAACATCTCAACCAGAGTCGACCTGCCAACCAATCAGCATCTGATTTGTCATTCAATATAACATGTGCCCTTTGAATTTGTTGCATTTGTCCCGATCAGTGCAAGACAAAAAAAATCTTCAATAGCAGGTTTCTTGTTTCTGCAGTATGAAACAATTTAAGTCACCATATTCCTACTGAACCATAGGGTTGCTCTCTCATTAGACAGAGAGAGAGACAACTGAAGGTGGTTTAACCTGAGGGTCACCACACCTCGAGCAAGGGGAAAGGATGAGGGACAGTCCTTCATGGGAACCACAGCTGCTGCGAGAATTAAACCCACCCAACGGTATTGCAAACCAGCTACATAACCAACTGAGCTATGACAATGGAAGCCTCATCTGAGACCTGGCTGTGTTCCTAATCAAAATCAGAATCACTGCTCTAGTGATGTCCAGCAGTGATGTCTGCTAGAAATAATACAAGAAATACTGGACAAGACATTACTGGACTCTTATTAGAATAACATAGAGCATTGTCAACTGTAGACTCACATCAAGAGTAACTAGTTCGGCCAAGTAATAGAGAACTTTCTCAGTAACTGGGTAATGGTAGCAAGAATTACTTATATTTGCATAACACAGTAAGATGTCCAACTGTGCTTAATGAATATTGTAAAATTTCATTCGGTGTTGAGTCACATAAGGAAATATTAGGACAGTTGTCCAAAAGTTTGAACTTTCCAAAAAAAAAAGCAGGTATTAAAGAACATGGTTATAAAGAGATAGACGCAAAGAAATTTAGGAAGGGAATTCCAGACTTTAGACATCTGATGTAATTGTTGATGGCAGAGCAACTTAAAAAAAAAACTATGCAAAAAGCCAGAATTGGTGGAACAGATCTCAAAGGGGTGCAAGGCTGCTGGAGGTTATGAGGATAGGAAAGGCAAAGTCAAGGAGGGAGTTGAAAACAAGAATGACATTTTTAAAGTGAGGGACACTGCAGGACTGAAAGTAAAATGAAAGTTAGCATTTATTGTACATTTTTATTCCATTAAGATAATGATCAAGGCTTCTCACGCTTGCTGCAGTTTAAACTGACAGTACGTTCATAGCTGATGCCTGCAAATTTATGACACAGCCCTAACAACTCTCTGCTGCTGCAGTTACTGCCTGGGATGATTCATAATT